TTAATAGTCCGCATAAATCATCGCCAAATCGGTCAAAACTATCTCTACTATACCTCCATTTGATATTCATTTCAATATTTTTATATCAATATTTTCATACATAAATGTTTAACTTAAGTTGCTATTAAACAGTCAATAATATGAACATTAATGTATTAGATTGTAATTAATAAAACAAAAAACTAAAAGTAAAAAAATAATAATACTTGAATTTATTGTGATTAAAATTAAAGTATAAATACTATACTATATAATATATAGTATAGTATTTATACTTTAATTTTAATATATAGTATATATGTATAGAGTCTATACTATAGACTATATGTACAGTATATCTAAATTATTTGTTGTAATCGTTTACATTAACCTTAACTTTAATTAATGTATACTAGAAATGACTCACTTTTGAGATTAAATAATATATTTAACTAATATATAAAATATACAATTTATACAATCATATAAACTGCTACTGTATGCATATTAGTCTAAAAATAATAAGTACTGTATAGTTATAACATATTTTCAATTAGTTATTAATAATATATTAATAGTAATTTTGTTAATTATAATTTATAAATTAGTATAAATTTTTTTTACATTATCTCAATTTACAAATAATAATTTTTAATAAAATTAATTTATATAAATTGGTAATTTTTTTCATTCACAAATAATCTTTATTAATAATATTTAATAATTTTGCGATAATTAGTTATAACTTATATATTATAATTGCAGAATTTTATTTAATTTTTAATATTTTAATCAGAATTAAGTAATATTTATTAGTTCTAATAATAGTAATATTAGTAAATAAAAATTATAACTAAAGTATAAATAAATTAAAAAATAAAGATAATGTAAAAACAAAAATTATTTATAATATTTATCATTTGATAAATCATTATATAGTGTAGTATTTTGTTATCATAATTCAATTTATTCAATTAATAAACTATATTACAAATAATTTTTATCATTAATTATTAGTTTAGTAATTTTGCGACAATTAGTGATAACATTTTTGACACTCAATTCATTGAATGCTTGATTGCTATTAAATGATTCAATAATCAATGTCTTTAAATGTTTAACATTTGCCATTGCGTTCAACATATTGTTACTAATTATTATTTTATTAAAATTCAAGTAATAGATATGGGATATGAAGTCCATGGGATCGGCAATAAAATCGATGCCGAAATACCAATCAATGTTAGATATAAGTGTCAAATGTGTCAGTTTGTGATAATCTTTTAGTGAATCGCTTGTAATTTCAAAACCATAGTCATATAAATAGTATTGAAAATATACGGAAAAATGTAATCTTTTTAATTTTGTAAAGTTTTGTCCAATTATTGCCAAAATATGATTAAATTCTGCAGGAGTTGGCAACCATAGAGAGAGCGCTAGGTTTTTAATTTTCGGACAATTGGTGCCAATTTTGGCAAATAATCTAATATCCGATGTCTTAATAGATGATCTCCAATAGGTTAGTGTAATTGCGGCATTTTTGCGATACAATCGATCACAACATTACTGTCGGCTAAATATTTTGTAGCAAATCTAATGTCTAGTTTTGTCATAGATTTACCATAATTTTCGGTAAACTTTTTCAAATTGTTTTTATTAACCGAATTCAATACAAAAGTCAATTTCTGAAGTTTGGGAAACAATACTTTATTGTTGTTGTCATTGAATAGCATCGATAGTGTATCGACTTTTGAATATTTTGTAAAACTAATATACCGTAAGTTATGGCATAGTTTAATATTATCACCAATCAGTTTGTCGTCTCTATTCAAATAAATTGTTTTAAATTGTTTGCCATATTTTGCAAACATTTGTCTGACAATATCGTCACTTAAATTATCATTTATTATCGATAACTCCATTGTATTCCACGATTCCAATACTAATCGTTGTATTTGATCGGTTGGCTTCAAATAATAAGTCAATCTAAATCTATTATTTAATTTTTTTATAATTTTTTCAAAATTTCTATTATATATATCGATGTCCTCAATGTAGTTGCGGTTTCTAAACACCAATCGTTGCCATTGTCGGGACACACACTCCGATCGGATCCGGTCGTCAAACGGCAGATAACTGAGTAATAGTCCGCACAAATCATCGCCAAATCGTTTAAAACTATTTCTACTATACTTTATAATTATTTTCTCAATGTTTTCACACATGTTATTAAACAGTCGCTATTAAACAAATTTCAAGTAATATATCAAACTACATAAAGTATTATAAACTGTTAGTATTGATAATACTAAAAATCAATTTTGATTTTTTTTCATATCAATCTCAATGTTATACCAAATTGACTCATTTGGATATACATTGAATCAATTTAAATTAATTAATTATTTATTCAATTTATATAAAATATTATATATACAGTACAAACAATACCGTAATAAACAGTATGTATTAGTAATATAATTATTAATTGTCATAAAATTTTAAGCTATTATTGAGTAATATTTATTAATTATAAATTAGTTGTTAATCGATTAGACATTTAAAAACTTTTATAATTGTTTAGTTACATGAAAATAATAATTTCATTAATTACAAAGTAAAACATTTAAAAAAAAAAATACAATTACTTTTATTAAATAATATAAAAATTATTTATTTACCAAGTCAACTTTATTAATAATAAATTAATTATTTACGTATATATTTAATATAGTATTTAATTATTAAGTAAAAAGATTAATAACAAATTAATTAAATTTAAAATTTACGATTTTTAGCATGACATAAGTTATAACTATTATTTAATGCAACTTTTATATGTTGACTATTGGTTTACTATATATTTTATATTGCTAAAAAATGTTTGAATAATGAAAATTAATTAATTACTTATAACTAGCTATTATACAGTAAATAATTTTCTTACAGTAATTATTAAATCAACTATTTTTTTAATTTTATAAATCAATTAAGATATTTATTTAAAAAACTTTTAAAAATTACAATTTTAATATTTTCTTTGTTTAATATTTTATTTATAAATAATTTTTATCATTGATCATTAATTTAGTAATTTTACGACAATTGATAATAATATTATTAATAGTCAATTGATTAGATGTTTCAATATTATCAAATTCTGATACAATTATTAATGTCTTCAAATGTTTTAATTTTGTCAATGCGTTTAACAAATTGTCACTAATGCTGATTATGCGATCAAATTTCAAGTAATAGATATCGGCTATGAAGTCCATGGGATTGGCCATAAAGTCGGCGCCGAAATGCCAATAATAGTTGGATCTGATTGTCAAATGTGTCAGTTTGTCGAAACCTTTTAGCGAATCGCTTGAAACTACAAAATCATTATAAACTAAATTGTTGGGAAAATATCCGGAAAAATATAATCTTTTTAATTGTCGAAAATTTTTTCCAATTATAGCCAAAATTTGGTTAAACTCGTCAATAGTTTGAATCCATGGACAGAGTTCAAGGTTTCTAATTTTTGAACAATTTGTGCCAATTTTGTTAAACAATTTCATATTAGACCTATTGATTGACAAATCAAAAAATGTCAGAAATATTAATTTAGGCATTTTTGCCACACTATTGGCCACAATGTTGTCGAGTAAAACTTTATTCGCAAAATTGATGTAAATATAAGTCAATTTTTGTCCATAATTTTCGGTAAATTTTTCAAAACTTTTTATATTAACCGAATTCAATACAAATCTTAATTTGCAAAGTTTGGGAAACAATACTTTGTTGTCGTTGTTGTCATTGATTAGCATCGATAGTGTGTCGACTTCAGAGTGTTTTGAAAACTCTATATACTGTAAGTTATGACATAATTTGATATTATCACCGATTATTTGGTCGTCTCTATCTAAATAAATTTTATCCAAATTTGTGCCATATTTTGCAAATATTTGTTTGACAATATCATCACTTAAATTGTCATTTATGTTTAATGACTCCGTTGTTTCCCACGATTCTACTATTAATTCCTGTATTTTATCGGTTGGTTTCAAATAACAATTTATACTTGAATTATTAGTTGATTTTTTCATAATTTTTTCAAAATTTTCATTATATTTATCGCTGTCCTCAATATAGTTGCGGCTGTTAAACACCAATCGTTGCAATTGTCGGGACACACACTCCGATCGGATCCGGTCGTCAAACGGCAGATAACTGACTAATAGTCCGCACAAATCATCACCAAATCGGTCGAAACTATCTCTACTATACATACATTTGACGTCCATTTTGTGTTCAAACAATTAATTAGAAATTTATATTAATTATATACCGTTTAAATATTTCAATAAATATTCATTTTAAATAAATCCAAAATAATACTATAATTAATTGTATTGTATTCTAAGTGTATCTCTAGTAACTGTATTTTTATGTTTATACAATTAATATATCTAAATAATAAAAAATAAACTTTTTATCAAGCACAAAACAAACTATTAGTAATAAAAATTGTTGTTTATCTCAACTTAACTAATTGTTTTAATATTAATATTAAATGTCAATAAATTTATAATTATAATTTAAAATCCTAATTTTATAAAAATATATAGAAACTATATTAGATTATAAAATTGATTTTAAATATAATTAGTTTTCTATAGATTTTTTTTAACAACAATTTTTCTACATTGTTTAAAATTTCTCAATTGTTTACAACTTAACTATTAACTATATTAATATTTTTTTTTTAATAAATCAATACTAATTTTGTTAAATTTTTATAAATTCAAATTTTATTCAAAGTTAGTTGCAGTTGTTAACACATTTAAATTATTTGTTTAATAGCAAGTATTTATTATTCATTAGAAATATTTATAAAACTTATTTTAATTGAAATATTTGAATAAAAAATTTTATTTAATGTTAATATAAATGGGTTTTTCTTTTTTTGAAAAAAATAGTATCACAACAATCAGTTATACAGTATTACAAAATAAATACTATAATTGTTTCCCAAATTATTTATTAACTGTTATCTCATAGTCCAACACATCTCTGGCCATTTCGCCGAATGTTGTCATCAATTGGCGAACATTGTGTTCATCGAAACGGTATATTACAGGTCGTCTACCATTAAGACAATAACTCTCTGGATTAAGACTATCACCTCTAATGAGTAGATGTATTGAATAATAGGTTTGTCGCCAATCGTTTCGATACTGATTATATAGTTGTGGACAAACTTGTCGACCATCGGCACCAAACTCACCGTTCAGACCGTGTATTAGATCCGGTCGTTTGTTGATTATCTCTTTGGTCGGCAATTCGCCGGTATTGTAGTACCAGAGATCGGGTCGATAATCACAGTAAGTCATAAGCCATAGCTTCAGAAAACGGGCATTTCTATGGGCTAACAATGTCTGCGAGGCCAACACTTTAGTGCCGTTATCGGTCCGTTCAAAGTCCAGTGTCATCTCGTAGTTGCGAAACGGATCCAAATTTTTCACAACATAGACATCTCTGTCGAGATAAATGCCGCCAAACTCCAGAAGCAAACGGATTCTGGTTATGTCCGACGCGTGGAAATTGCGATACAATAAGCTCAACGGTTGGCCAAATATATCAATTGGTCGTTCAATTGTACGCAAAATAAGCCGAGTTTTGGTGGCATTGGCCAACCGAACTAAACGTTGCCAATACTGGCCGGTCAGTTGGCGACAATCGCAGTGAATGTATATACTGTCGGGTCTATGGTTTTTCAGTACCGATAGTACCGACAAAAAATGTGCGAACTGTATCTCATGTATTTTAAACAGTATGTAGTGTACAATGTTTGGCACTAAATAGCCATCAGTTGATGACTGGCCATCAAATGGCTTCACACGAACGGACCAATTGTGTCGATCAATGCATAGATGTTTTGTATAATAGTTTTCATGACTATCGATGACAACCACTATATCGGATCTTCTTGTCATTAATATTATCGTAGAAATAGATATTAAATAAATTGCAATAATTATAATAAAAATACTTTTATTATAATTATTAAGTTTGTATTTAATAGTATCAAACATTTTTTTTGTTTTAATTTGTCGCTTAAATTAATTATATATATATCTAAATATAACTTATAAACTAATAAATAATTTTTTTTAGTCTTTTTCGATGTCATTATTACAGTTTCCAAGAAAAAAAAAACTTATCGATAACTTTATTTATAAAAAGTTATTATTTTAAAGTAAAAATTTCTATAAAAAAAACTTTAATCATAAATAATTTTTATCATTAATCATTAATTTAGTAATTTTGAGGCAATTGTTAATTATATTATTTAATTGTTAATTCAACAATTAAAACAATTAATTAGAAATTTATATTAATTATATACGAATGTTTCAATAAATATTATTGATTAATAAACACAAAATAATACTGTAATTAATTGTATTGTATTGTAAGTGTATCTCTAGTAACTGTATTTTTATGTTTATACAATTAATATATCTAAATAATATAAAATAAACTTTTTATCAAGCACAAAACAAACTATTAGTAATAAAAATTTTTGTTTATCTCAACTTAACTAATTGTTTTAACATTAATATTAAATGACAATAAATTTATAATTATAATTTAAAATCTTTGAATTTTTAGAAAATATATAGTAAACTTAATTTAAATACGATTATAAAATTGATTTTGAATTTTAAATATAATTAGTTTTCTATAGTTTTTGTTACAACAATTTTTTTTAACATTATTTAAAATTTCTTATAATTGTTTACCAAATTATGTATTAACTGCTTATCTTATAGTCCAACAAATTTCGCAGGAAATCGCGGGTCTCGTCTACCATTGAAATGGCAACTGTTTTGGCTAAATATAATCATCTCTAATGAGTTTAAACACAATTTTTTACGACGGTTTAAATCATATAATGTTTTCTAATCTTTTTTTTTAATAAATCAATACTAATTTTGTTAAATTTTACAAATGATAAAATTAATTTAATTTAATAATTTTTTATTATAAAAATTAAGTAAAATTACTGACATTTTTAAATGTTTTCAATTAATAAAATAAATAGTAAAACAAATGATAATAATTACTTGAATTTAATATTGTTTTTTTATTTTAAAAATTTAGTAAAATTAATGACATATTCTACTGTTAATCAGTTATAAATTATAACTTATAATACTTATTATTAAAATATATTAAAAAATATTCAACAAATATTTAACATAAACTATAGTACAATAATAAACTTATTTATATAGTGTTTGATGACAGTTGTTGTCCATTGATTTCATTAACATTGGTATTACTTTTTGATATGACTTCAATTGAATTAATTGTATTATTGTTTATATTATTATTATTATTATTAATCTTTAGTTTATATAAAACTCCTGTAATAACTATTGCTATTATAGTTATTACAAATACAATTGCCACAATTAAGCCAACTAAACAAATTAAAAAAATTAATTATTATAAATTGTTTTGTAAGTTTATTAATATTTTTTTTAATAAAAAATAATTACCTGGTATATTTTGATCTTTGAAGATTTTTTTAATTATAAAAAAAATAAATCAATATAATATATTAAAAATTTGTAAAACTTTTTTTTCGTGTTATTATTTAAAATCTTAGTTTTAATTAATATTATTTAAAATGTCATAAAAAAGTTAATTAAATATTTATTTAGTTTAACTAATTGTAGTAATATTATGATTACTGTATTGTATAAAATAAAAACTATTGGGGATTAAATTTTAAATTATGTGAAAAACCATTTATATATACAAATATTTATACAATTAGTTAATAAATTAACAATAATTGATAAGCACTTTAAAAATTAGATTTAAAAACATTAATTAATAAATTTTTTTTGGTACTTCAAATAGGGTTAGATTACAATTGTATATCAATATTTAATTATTAGTTAATAGCAATAATTGTTAAGATATTTTAAGATACTAAAACAATAATTAATAATTTACAATTTGAAATATTTTCAGATAATTTTTGTGTTTTTCAAAAATTATTTTATCAGATTTTTTTGTTTAATTGCTTACATACAGTAAATCATATTAATTTTGATAAAATTTATTGTTAAAACTTACCAATTAATCTGCATTTAGGTGACACTGATGACCACTGACCGGATGTTTTGCATATTATATAATGATTGCCAACTAATTGAAAATTTTTGCTACAATTGAAGTTAGCTATCGATATCTTTTTGCGAATATCGATACTAACGGATCCATTCACGGGTACATCAGGTGGACCACAGTTTAAGACATTTTCTTCATAATCTACTAATATATCAATACTACAGATACTAAATACTATGGGTAAGCCTTTTGTAAATACAATATTCAGATAATCGCCACTTATATGATTACCATCGGTGCTAATATAGTGATATATTTTTATACTATTTCCAAACGTTTTGATTTTTGAATATAATTTTAGTAATTTTGTTTGACCAATGGTACCAAAATGTACTTGATAATATGATAAATATTGTTTACTATTACCAATGACTAACAGCTGAACACTTTTCATACTAACTATTGTTTTCAAATATATTTCAATTGAATGACTGATCGGACGAAACAATTGCTGACTAAAACACTTAAGATATTTGCCATCAATTAGTTTAATTAGTTGTTCACTGTTTGCCTTATTATTATCAATTATAATCTTATTAATCATATGACTACTAATCTGTTTTAAACATTGAATATCCATTGGTGTCCAGTGACCAGTACTATGATTGCACCGACGGGTGTCGTCTCCTAATAGTATTAATTGTGAATCACATGAATATCGGACAACCGATTCCGACTGCGAACTGATTATCCCATTGTCTGGAAGTCTCGGACTATCATACGGAATACCATTTGTTTGTTCACTTAATATAATAATAATAATAATAATAACAAAATATTTAATCATATTGTTTTATAGACTGTATATACTATATATCACAATAAATTAGAAGTAAAACAAAAATATAACTAAAATTTTATATTTATTAAAAATATTATACAATATATAAATACTGTATAATTTACATATAATATAGTTTAATAAATTATAAATATATTAATATATTATAAGTATATTAATAAAAACTTTATTTTTTCAATTATTAAATGTTTTTATACTACAGTATAATAACTAATTCTAATATAAAAGTAGTCAAAGTTATAACTATTTACTGTATAAAACAGTTTTTAAATTAACAATTAGCTAAATATATATATAAATAGTATTATTATTAGTAATCATGATATTTAAGATATTATTGATATAAACCATTATACAGTAATGTGATCAACAAAAACATTTATTTTTTAAAAAAATTTAAAACTATTGCTATTATATTATAAATATAGTCTAATTATTTAGAATAATAAAAACATTTATTTTGATTTTAAATTGTTTTAATAGATTAGTTTTCAATAATAATTAACTGAATATAATTTAAATGAGTAATTAGTAATGTTTAGATTATTTTAAAACTATTTATTTTCATTGTAATATTATAATTATAATACTATGAACTTATTATTTTTAGTAATATATTTTTTAAAATAACTATTAATATGTTTTTTGTAATTTAAATATTATAAAATACAAACATGAACTTTTAATATAAAATATAATAAATATAATCAATTGTTTATATATATACTGTATACTGCATTTCAAATATTTAAATTCATATATTTATTTATTTGATAGTATTTATTATACAATATATTAATAATATTTTGTTTTATTATAATGAAATCATTTTAAAGTAAAAATTTCTTTTAAAAAAAACTTTAATCATAAATAATTTTTATCATTAATCATTAATTTAGTAATTTTGCGGCAATTGTTAATTATATTTTTAAATGTTAATTCAGTGGATGTTTCAATGCTATCAACTTTTGTTTGAATAATCAATGTTTTCAATTGTTTCACTTTTGCCAATGCATTCAACAGATCTTCACTAATGACTATGCGATCAAATTTCAGGTAATAGGTGTGGGCTATGAAGTCCATGGGTTTGGCGATAAAGTCTGGACTGAAATGCCAATAATAGTTGGACTCAAGTGTCAAATGTGTCAGTTTGTGATAACCTTTCAACGAATTGCTTAAGATTTCAAAACTAATTTCATCTGAAGATTGGTTGTGAAGATTTCCGGCAAAATATAATCTTTTTAATTGTCGAAAATTTTTTCCAATTATAGCCAAAATTTTGTTAAACTCATCGGCAGTTGGCAGCCGTAGACAGAGTTCGAGATTTCTAACTTTTGGACAATTGGTGCCAATTGTTATAAATAATTTCATATCCGAGGTCCTAATTGATGATCTTCTATAAGTGATGGTCAATAGTTTCGGCATTTTTGCTAAACAATTGATGACAATGTTGTCGGATAAGTATTTATTTGCAAATTTAATAGCAATTCTTGTCATTGATTTGCCGTAATTTTCGGTAAATTTGTCGAAACTGTTTATATTAACCGAATTCAATATAAATCTTAAATCGCAAAGTTTGGGAAACAATACTTTGTTGTCGTTGTTGTCATTGATTAGCATCGATAGTGTGTCGACTTCAGAGTAGTTAAAAAATTCTATATACCGTAAGTTATGACACACTTTGATATTATCACAAATCAGTTGATCCTCTCTATACAAATAAATGTCCTCCAAATCAGTGCCATATTTTGCAAACATTTGTTTGACAATATTGTCACTTAATGTTTCAATCACATCAATTGACTCCATTGATGGCCACCACTGTAATACTGATCTCATTATATCATCGGTTGATTTCATACGATAAGAACTTGCCGTACATTTATATATTTTTTTCATTATTGTTTCAAAATTGTTCACATATTTATCGTTGTTGTCAATCTGGTTACTACTTTTAAATACCAATCGTTGCCATTGTCGGGACACACACTCGTATCGGATCCGGTCGTCAAACGGCATATAACTGAGTAATAGTCCGCATAAATCATCACCGAATCGGTCCAAACTATCTCTACTATACTTCCATTTTATATCCATTCTTTCGATACCTTTAGACATGTTTGACTTAATTTACAATATTATCTATTAATTATTTTTTTTTTATTAAAAATGGTATTAAAAATTTAATCAATATTATTATTTTTTAAAAATATACACAAAATTATTAAAGTACAAACTATGTTAGATGTCTAAATAAACCAATAGTATATTTATTACTTAAAATTATTAAATTTTAACATATATTACAAAAATTAACATATATCTATTTTAAAGTTAATTAATAAGCAAATATTTTTTGTTTTACCTCACGTACAAAACTATTTGTTTAATTTATTTCATATCCAATATATGACTAACAAACAAAAATGTTTGACTTGTGATATTTTTAAATATTAAAAAAAAATTTATACAGTATAATAATATATTAATAACATAATAAGCTAGCTAAATTATATATATTTTAAAAATAAATTAACATTAATTACTATTTTATATATCATAAAAATATTTATGTCTAAAAGTTGTTAATAATTTATAAAATTATTTACAATGATTTTTGTTGATAGTATATTTAAGCCCATTTTTTATAATAATAGAATTTGAATTTTATTTTTTAATTTATGGGAGAAAACATGACCCAGTTTTTATACAATTGTATTAAATTTGAATAATTTGAAAATATTTTAGTATAATTAAAATCTTATTAACATTATTAAATGTTTAAAAAAATTGATTTAATATTTTTAACTAAAATTCTATTATAAACTTTAATAAACATAATTAAAAAAAATTCTAAAATTTTTTTGAATACATATTTTTTATTATACTTTATTTAATTGTAAAACTACTTGAGTTTATTAATAACGCTCTTTTACAAAAAAAAAATTAATTATCATTTTATTATTTTTTTTAATCTGAGTTTTTATTTAGCAATTACTTTGCTGTTTGGTTTGATTGAAAATTTTATTGATGTCAACCCAAACATCATATTTATAGCCAAAAACAATGGCATTGTTGTCGACACTTAGTCCGCCTTCCAGTGATGAGTTGGTCACCAAAATCAATGCCTTATTGTTGTTAATCGCTTCGCAGTCACACAACTTGTCGTAACTAATATAGAAAGTCGTATTGAGATTACCGATTGGTTGACTTTCGACCAGTTTTGCCGATTGACAGCTCGATTTGCCCGAACCGGGAGCTAACTGTGCCATATAGTCACCTTTGATGGCATGTATTAACCGACGTTTGCCGCTTGAGTCACATTTACTCAAATCGGTTACCACTTGTAGGACATCTTTTGGACAAACGGGACATGAATTGGGTTTTGGCGGACAAATGGGCGCATAATTGTTAATTTGATCGCTCGATGAGGCAAAATAGTCATTTACAGTCAACTGGTTGTTTCCACCACCGATTTGACGGTAACCCCGATTTTGTTGATCATACGAACCCATATTGTTGGCATATCCCTGTCCATTGCCTGCCGTGTACTGTCCATTATTATTATTATAGGTCTGTCCATAATTTTGTGGTGTGTTAGCATAGTATTGATTACTATTACTATTATAACCATTGTATTGATTAGTATTGTATTGTTGACTACCGGATGTTGGATATTGATAAGCATTATTATATTGTTTGGTTTGACTGTCATTATATGACTGTTGGGGACTATAGTTTGTATTAGACTGTCCGTATGGCTGTCCACTGTATGGCAATTGTGATGATCCATAGTTTTGTTGATTATTATTATTATTATTATTATTATAAGGATTGCTATTATATTGAACAGTCTGATCATTTGTATACTTATTTGTGGCATAGTTTTGTTGGCCATAGATTGGTTGACCATCGGTATAGTTATTGCCGGTTTGTGGTCCATAGACTGGAGTTTGCGGACCATTTTGATAGTGGTTTGTAGGATACGGGTATTGAACTTGTGGTGATTGAGTATTAGTATTATTATAATTATTATAATTGTAAAGCTGTGAACCACTGCCGCTATTATAACCTGGTATATCATAATTAGATTGACTATAATTTTGATAGACGCCCGAGTTCTGGTTATAGTTAACTTGTTGTAGTTGGGGTGTGTAAGTATTTTGAGCTACATAAGCTACATTTTGCTGTGATTGATAATTGTTGTCATTATAATTATTGTTATTATTATTATAAGCGTTATTTTCATTATTCACAGACTCATAGTAAGGTCCACTATTGTAGGTCTGTGCCGATTGACTATAATTGCTGGTCATTTGTTGATTAACAGTGTATTGTTGGGCTATCTGGTATTGTTGGTCATTATAGTTGTTTGCTGGCGGCGGTGGTAATGGTTGTCCATAATTTTGATTAGCATAAACTGATTGTTGATTATATATCGGTGCCATTGGTTGAGACATATGGCCGTAAACGGTAGTATTTTGCCCGGGATAAGTGTACTGTGCATTTGAATTGTACTGAGGGTTAGATATGGGAGCGTTGGGTACATAACCGGGTTCCGAGTTGTTATAGTTTTGTGAGTACTGGAGTTGACTGTAATCGTAAAACGGCGGTACACTGTAGTTGGCGTTTACTTGCGGTAGTGATGATGTCATCATCGATGGTTGATTTGAGTAGTGATTGGACTGATTGTAATTGTTGTGTCCATAGTTGTTGTTACCTCCAGAATATGGTAGTGATTGTTGGGGTGGATATTGTTGTTGAGGTGTAATAGGATAGGGTTGCTGAGGAACCGGTAGTAATGGCTGATTATACAGTGGCAGAGAATTGTTATAGTTTGGATGAGGCTGTTTGGGGCCATAGTTTTGTTGCGGGTTTGTTGGATAGTTGTATTGAGGATTGGGTTGTATGGGAACCGGTTGATAGACTGGAGGCTGTGGTTTGTAGGGAACGTTGGGCTGTTGTTGATATTGTTGTCCATAGTTTTGCTGAGGAGGAGGAGGAGGAACAACGGGATATCCTTGATTGTAGCCACCATTTATTGTCGGTTGATTTGGTTGCTGAACAACATAACTGTTTCCAGGATTGTTGGCGTAATTCTGTGGTGAATATGGTTGTGGATTGTAATTGATTGGATTATTTTGTTGAATAACAGTCCCTTTCGGGTAATACGTTGGCTTATAATTTGATTGATTAGGTTTATAGCGGCGACCCTGGAGTGGTCTGTTAGTAGCCGTATAGTAGTAGTTAGGATTTATAGCCGGAGGCTTTCCTGCCCCGTATTGCAATGACTGGGCGCTAAAGTAGCCAGTAGTCAGATAGCCGGGAGGACTTAGAAATGGGGAAAACTGTGGGGACGTATATTCGTTTTGTGTGTGCGGGTATTCAAACCTATACGTTGGTACACGATTTGAATACGACTGTCCATTTGAATAGTTAGGCGCTATTGGATAGCCTCGCGGGTATGACTATTGAATAAGGGGGAGTAATAGTGATTTGTATGTATAACTAAATGCTAGGCCCTAATTACATTAAAAAATACTAATGATAAAAATATATATATATTTTTAATATAAAACACTTACATTTGGATTCATTGGTCCACCAGATACTGGCGCTGACGGGTAAACGGGATCTAAATTTATTTTTAAAAATATATTAATTTAATTGTTTATTTCTAAAATAACAACTCTTATTGACATTACCGCCGACATTACGACGCCTTTCCTCTAACTGTTGATCCGGTATTTCATTATTGTCGATATCTGTCATATTAACTGTGGGCAGAGTTTCGGTTTCAAAAGTCGGTGCCAACGCTTCGGTCGTATCGATTGTCTGAATGGTGGTCTCGCCGTCCGATTCTGTTGTAATGTCCAACAGTGTAGCGGAAGTGGTAGTTATTTCCGGTGGTGTTTGCGTTGATAAGTCATCGGTGGTGTTGGTGTTGGTGGTGATAGTAGTAGTAGTGGTCGACAATGATTTGTCACAATTATCAATATGTTTGACACCTTTTACCAACACTGTTGACGAGTTAAAGAAGAATCCTTCGGTGTAAGTGTCAAACGATTCCGATGTCACCATAAAAGTGATGTCTTGTTGGTCGAGATCCGGACATTTCGGACAATTTTCGGCCATCGAATAGTATATCTTATCGACAGTCAGATCGTTAAGCCATCGGATTTTTTTGCTAATATCAATATTACCGCATTTGCCATCCGGTTTGGTAATGGATCCCTCGGCCACTGAAAAAAAACAAATATTGTTAACAAAAATTTATTATTTAATATTTTTAAGCAAATATTAATAATAATTAATTAGTAAAACTTAAATATTTTTTTAAGTAAATGTTCAAAAAATAAATTTAGTTTTTCAGTTTATATGGACAAACCGTATGCATATTTTTCGTCACACATGTTGGCCAACAAATCGTCGGTGATTTCGGTATAACATTTCAAACACTGATCGCCAGCAATTGGACACTTGTCGTCGTCGTCGTCATCGCTGTTACCGAAAAAGTCGCGTTTAATACGACTCAAGACATTCAATGTTTTTATCCTAATATTTAATATTATAAACACAAAAAAAAATTTTGATTAATTTATGTCAAACTATTTTTTTAAAAAAAATCAATAGTAGTGTCATTCAAGACTAACTAACCCATTGGTGAGACTGCAGTTAACATAATATGAATAGTTATGGATCAGTAGACATATGAACAACAATTGTATCACTTTTGAGGCCATTATATTCAATCGGACACCCATTTAGTCTACTAAATGAATAATCACAAGACATTTAGCAAACTTTTTATTATCATATCTTGATTTATAATATAAATGATGACTTTATACATATTGGATATACAGTATATATATATAGTCTACTGTATATATACTGTAATACAGTATATAAAAATATATAGATACTATAATGTGTTGATATACTGTATATATTTTTGCTGATTTAGTAATAATTAATTATATATATATATATATTTTTTGTTTCATTCATCCAGTAAGACAAAAATGATTAATATAAATTACAGACAATATACAGTATATATACATAAAACATATATTTCTATTTATTTTTAATCTATAGCATCAAAATGTTGTCTAAAATAATTTTTGTTTAATTTTATAATTACCGAAAAAAATAAAATAAAATTGTATATTATATAATAAAGCATTACATTAATATTTTTCATTGATATACACAGTCCTATATATTTTTATTTTAATTAAAACTATCAATTATTCTGTACGTCATCATTAAATTAAAAAATATAAAATAATATTCAGCAATATTTTTTAGGAAAATTGTAATCTCTAAATATTTAAAAAAAATTATTGATATATTATACATATACTGTACTCAGATTATATAATAAAAATATTAAGAGATAACAAACATTTTATGCAAATTTATTTAGTGTTATTTAATATTATCTATATATTTATTTATTTAATATTTTTTTTATAAAAATAGTCTATAAATATATATATACAATATGTTTCTAAAGAAATTTTTCTAGATTTTAAAAACAATAACAAATAAATTTTCAAATAAACATTTTTTCTAGTTATGTATTAATAAAATTATTTTATTTCATATATCATTTTAATGGATACTTAGAATTATAAAATAATATCTACACATGTTTTATCGTATGTTTTCTAAACAAATATAATCAATTATTTTAAGTCAAAATTACAATAACTAACACTAAATAATATAAATATATTAAATAATTTATTATTTTAAAAATTGTTTTTCAATATACATATTAAAAAAATATTTTTTTAAATATAATTATTAATAGTTATATAGAAAATTTATTTTCAGTTTTTAAGTAATTTATTAAATATGTAATTTTGTAAAGTGTCACTAAAAGTGAAAAACAATTAAAAAATTATTATTATACTACTGTAATAGTTTAACATTTTAATTTTATAATACAAACACATATACAGTAGCATTAATTGCATTGAGTTAATTAATTTGGATTAATATGCATTTTAATAAGATATTGAATCAATAAATAGTATACATTTTTTTGTCATATAATTACAATAAATGTGATAACTGTTTGTTAAAATTTGTTTGTATAATACAGTATATCAAACTAATAGATTAACAATAATAATAATATAATAATTGTATAATAGTCAAATATTTAATTCAATTGATGTTATACATTATTAAAATCAAAACAGTATTAAAATTTTTAATTTAAAAATAATAAATTAGAAAAATACATACAATTATTAACAAAATATAAATTATTATTAATATTTGTAATATATAAAACTAAGATATTAAATTTATAAGTTATCAATATCATAATTATCATAATTTTATATATGCTTTTCTATTGTTTTAATAATAAATATATAATTTTAAGTATCTATAATTAATATTCTATTAAAAAAGTCTATTACAAGAATGATTTTTAGCAAATAAAAAATTAGTTTATTTATTAAATTGAATATATATATAATTTTTAAAATACAAATAAAACAATTTTATTTAGTAAGTATTGTCCGTATTTTATCCGGATTTTTTGTTTGTGTAATAACATTATGAAAACCAAAATAACTTTAGTTTTTTGTATCTAATTTTTTTTAGACTAACTTAACAATTGTAATATACGTTTCATTGGTAGCTCCGGGTCTATCATCATATGTTTTGTACGATTTGTTTCCAATTCTTTGATAAAATTACTAAAACGATTCGGATGTTTCTTTTCGGCCAATTTTATTGCATAAGCTATTGATTATTCAAAATATATTTTTTTAAATAATAATAATAATTATTAAAAAAATATTAATCAGTACTAATAATTTTAAAGATATATATTATTTTTAATATATATATATATATATATATATATATATATAGACTCACTATCATAAATATCCAGATTATATTGACTGACAACCAATCCGACACACAAACAAAAAACAAAAATAATTACTAATTTCATGGTTAGTCTTATATTAGTTTTTTTTTAAATTAAATGTTTGTTTGAAACTAGACTTTAACTGTCTGTTTATATACTTATATACTTTTTTAAAAAACAACTGTTCATGTGATTATCGGATGCTATTATTATTATTAAAAATTTCATAAACATATTAATCATAGTATTTATTTTTAATTATTATACATATGTTTGTTCACAAAAATAAAATCTTAATTATTTTAAAATTTGATTAATGTAATAATGTATAATTATATTATTGTTAAGATCTATTAAATCTATCTAGTTAGTTTTTTTTAATGTATTATAATAATAATTACTTCTCAATTAAAATACATTAATTAAATTCAAGTGTGTATTATAAAAATAAATATGGTTTTAAGCAATTTATTATAATAATAATTTTCTATATTTAAAAAAACAATAACAAATAATTAATTAAAAAGCTAACAAATTTATTATATAGTTATGATAATTGAATAATAACTAATCGTTTTTTTTTCATTAGCTAACATCCATTCACAGAATCGACAATAACTATAGTCAGGCGTCGGTTACAGTGGTCGACCTCTTTATAAACTCTTACAAGTAATTTATAATTAGACAAAACGCTAATAAATGATTGACTATTTCGGTCGTCCGCATTGGTTCTCCATATAAGAAAGTCGACTTTTTGATTGACTATTGCCGGACAATGTTTTCGGGAACAGTTGTCGGCTACCACTGCAAAATGTAGTCTAATATCTACGGGATAATTTCTAAAAAAGCTATAATGATATTTATGGCCAGTTAGCGTATAAATACAATCGTCCACTTATTTGTTCAGATAGCCCACTATATATATATATATATATATATATATATATATATATACAGAAAAAAAATGTAATTATATTTATTAAAAATAACTATTAAAATAAATTTTTTAAGTCAAAACCGTAAAGAATTTTATCATCGGTACACAAGTTGGCCAACGATGTGTCCGGTTTGTCGCCGACGGCCACACAATTCAAACAGTTTGTAGTAGTAATGGGACAGAAATACGTCTCATTGTTATTAAGTTGACGTTTAAGACGTTTCAATATATTATTATTATTATTATTAGACATTGTCTTTCTTTTTAATTGAATTGTTGATTAAAATTGTAAACAAAAAAATCAAAATTACTAAATATATTAGTCATTAGTTAAATTTGCAAATTAGTTATTACCCATTAATTTGATAGCAGTTAACAAATAAGTTGCCAATTAGTAGACATAAAACCAACAATTGTATGACTTTTGAGTCCATTTTGTTTTTATATATTCAATTTCATATAAAATTTAGTTTTTAAATATAATATATAATTTTTAGCTATAAATTATTTAACTAAATAACTAATTGAATACATGACATTTATATACTCATATAAAAAATTATTTGTTTATTTTATAAGCAATCTATAAATGTAATATTTTCATTATTTTTTATATAGTGTTAATAAAATAAATTTATAACTAAATATTTATATTTTAATTATATTAATATTATTATTAGTTTTCAAAATCTTATCCTTGATCTAGTGTTGGCAATGTTAAGCTTATCAATTGTTAATAACTGGTTCATAAAAATAAATTTATGATAAATTAATTTAAAATTATCCTAAATAATTTAAGTGTTAAGTTTTAAATAGTATGTATAATATGAATAATTTATTCATTTATTAGTTAGATATTATTAAATAATTTTTTAAAATTATATACACAAAAATAATTTCATAAAATTTAGATTATTTTAATAAACTTTATATTTAGTTAATATTATGGATTTTTGTTTAATTGTAATTATCTATTATGTAATTTATTTATATATATATTATATAAACTAATAATTTGTAATTTAATCACAATTTTAATATCTCTTTATATATAAATTTTAAAAATAACAAACAGTTTATTATTAAAAATAATATCATATTATAATTATCAATATATTTATTGTATAATTAGAAATAATTTATGTTATCGTTATCAATAATTTTTTTAAAAATTTATTTTAATAAACAGTTAATACAAGTTTGTTATTAATGTATTAATAAAATTATTTATTGCATATATTAATAAAATTTATCAAAATATAATAATTAAATATAAGTTTATTATAAATCTAGTTTCAAATCAATTACTTTAATATGTAATTTATTGCCCAGAAATTTACGATAAACTTGATTTTGTTGGTTATAGCTGAGACCAATAGGGTTGGCATATCTTTCGGATCTATCGTATTGTTGGCTACTGTCGGACACCACACCATCACTAATACTTTTGGTAGTAGTAGTAGTAATCGGTTGTTCAGTTTCATTGACAACAACAGCCAATTCATTGTCTGTCTGAGTTGTGGTCAGTTCTGTGAGGTTGTCGTCGTCATCATCGTTGTTGTTGTTGTTGTTGTCTTCCACTCCATTGTTATCATCAGATTCGTAAACCCATATACTTAGAGGTCGGTCACAATTGTCGACCTGTTTGTCAATCTTTACAAATATTCCATTAGTCGAAAATAGTACTAAAACTGGTTTAAGTGTTTCCGTGATATTGTTTTTCTTTACAAAAATATTAACTTTTAGATTGTCTATATCAGGACACTGTTGTTGTTGTTGTTGTCGTCGTTGGGAACAGTTGTTATCCGCCAAAAACTCTAATCTAATCTCTCGGGGCTCATGTCGCCAATCATTGTAACCCAATTGTTGGCCAGTCAGCAAATACATACAATTGTTTTTATTGTTGTCTGATTTGGTTAGGTATCCATCTATACTGTATATATATCACCCAAAAATAAACAATATATATATAATGATATTATTAATAAAAATTTATTTTTTTTTTGATAAAACCGTAGATATTTATTTCATCGGTTCAAAGGTTGGCCAACGTTTGGCTCGGTTTGTCGTCGGTAGCCGAACAGCTCAAACAGTTGCTGCCAATGATGGGACACATATAGGTCTGATCATCGCTAAGATCACGTTTAAGACGTTTCAATACATTAAATGCTTTTAGACTATAATATAAATAATTATAAAAAAACAAATAAATAAATAAATAATAATATCATTAGTTATTTTCAAAAACTTATTACTCATTAATGGGACCGCAGTTAACAAATAAGTTGCCAATTACTAGGCATATGACCAACAATTGTATCAATTTTGAGTCCATTGTATTCAATTGGATACCTATTTAATTTATAAATATAATAAATAATATAATAATAGTAATAATTTAAATAATAATAATAGTTATATTATTTAGGAAATCATTAACTATAATTAAATAATACAGAATAACATACAGTTTATATACCCTAATATTATTAAAAATTATTTGTTTATTTTATAATCAATATAATGAATGCTTTTTAAACAAATTATTCTTCATATAGTGTAATAAAAATTTTTATTATTAATAAATATTAATTTTTTTATTACATAAACATTATCATAATTTTTTTAAAAAAATCTTATGCATCATTTAGTGTTGGCAATGTTTAACTTATCAATTGTTTATAACTAAATTTCTAATTAAAAAATCGTGACTAATTAATTAAAAAAAAAATTATCTTAAATAATTTATTTTTACAAAGTTTTAAATAATATTTTTTTCTAAATTAATTTATCTATTAGTTACAAGTTGTTATTAAAATGAATAATCTAAAAAATAAAATTTCTTATTTTTGTTTTTATTAAAATTATAAATTATTATTTAAAGTTATATAAAATAATTTATTTGTTATATAAAACTAATTACTTCTATAATAGTATAAAAGCTCCTTTTTTTTGCTAAAAAGTTTTATATAAATTTTAAAGTTGACAAACATTTTAATTAAGACTTTTATATCATTTTTATTTGATATAAGTTTTTATAATTTAATAATTTTTTAATTAAAATAAATTATCTATTTTTTTTATCAATATCTTGGATATGATCACGTTTAAGACGTTTGAATATATCAGATAAATTTTTCCTTATTATTGATTATATGAGTACAAAAAAAACAATAATTTTAAAACAATAATCATAGTATTAGTTATTTTTCAAAAAAAAACATATTACCCATTAATAGGACCGCAGTTTAGCAAAATATTATATAATAGTTGCCAAATATTTAGTAGGTATATGAACAGCAATTGTATCTGTTTTTTGAGTCCATTGTATTCAATAGGATACACATTTAGTTTGTAAATATAATAGTTTATCTTTTATATGATTTACAGAACATACAGAATAATTGATAAATACATTAAGCTTTATATATATATATCCTAAAGTTTAGGAAAATTACTAAAAATTATTTTATTTATATAATCAATGATTGATTGACAATGAATGTTATTTTTATATTATTTTTATATAGTGTAATGTTAAGCAGATTTGTGAAAAATATTAATATACTGTATATATTGTATTAATTTTATTAAAAATATTAATTTTCAAAATCTCATGTTTGATAAAGATTATGCATTTTTTATGCAGTTTATCAATTGTTTATAATTGGTTTCAAAATATATTTATAACTTAAATAATTTGCTGATTTTTAAATAGTACTGTAGTATAATATATGACTGAAAAAATTTATCAATTAGTTACTATTTTATAATAAAGTAATTTTTAAAAATGTCATATATCTAAATATTAAATCTATATAATTTACATTATTTTAATAAGTATTACATAAATTATACTACTATTATGCATTTTTGTTTAATTAAAGTTATCTATTATTAAAATTAAAATTATTATTTTTTATAGTAATTTATATATCAAATAATAATTTGTAATATTAACCATAATTATAATTATATTTTTATAATTATTAAATAATTATATATATATATATATAAATTTTAAAGATGACAAAGATTTTATTTAAATATATTTATTAAAATCATTTAAATATAAGAATAACATATTGATAAACAACAGTTTTTTTAAAAACTTAAAAATAAACTTAAGATTACAAATATTTATAATATAATTCCATACTTAATATGAATTATCATTCAATTTTCATATAAACAGTTTGTAAATCATTTATTGCATTTACACATATATAAGATAAATGCAATAATTAAATATCTTATAAATCTAATAACAAATCAATTACTTTAATATGTAATTTATTGTCCAAAAGTTTACGATAAACTGGATGTTGTTGGCTATAGTCGAGACCCATACGGTAGGTATATACCTGTCTATTGTCATATTGTTGACTACTATCATCTGACTGTTGTCCATCACTTGTTGTATAAACAGCGGGCATCGGATAGGCTGATGGGTATTGCTATTAGCAAAAATAATAATAATAATATTATCTTTAATAAAACACTACTTGTATATACATAATAGGTATGTTAAATACGTACACCTATTTGTAGAAATAGTGAACCATCAGTAGATACTGGACGTGACGGTTGAACGACATCTAAAAATGTGGACAAAAAATTTTTATAAGTAAAATATATTTCTATTGAAGATATTTTCAAAATATATACAGTATATACCATTGCAATCATCACGAGTCTGGCGATTGCCGGTTAGACCACTACCGTCGGGCTTTGGGGATTCAGTTTTATCTGCTGCCGGTGTTGTTGTCTGAATTGTGTCGACCACCACTGCTTGTGTCTTGTTTACACTAACAGCCATTATACTGATGGGTTGGTTACAGTTGTCTATATGTTTGACTGTCTTAACAACTATGGAATTGTCTGTCGGCGAGACCAGAATAAATGGATCCAAAATATCAAACAAACTAAAGTAGCCAATTATAAACCTAACTGTCCGATTGACAATATCTGGACACAGTTGTTGTTGCTGTTCATCATATATATTGGTACAGTTGTCGGCTGTAACCGAAATTTTTAGCCGAATATCTTTAGGTTCGTCAATGTTAGGCAAATCTATATCATTATATTGTTGGCCAACTAACAGATAGTCACAATCATTGTCATCAGATTTGCTTAGGTATCCATCTATTATGCTATCAACAAACAAAAAAAAATCAGTTATTAGTAATAGTAGTAATAATTACACATAAAATATTAATTAGATATTAAATAATAAAAATGTTTAGTTTTAGGATCAAACACCGTAGACAATGGGTATTTCGCTACACAGGTTGGCCAACGATTTGTCCGGTTTGTCCGCGGAACAGCTCAAACAGTCGATGCTATCAATCGGACACATCATGGACTCATCATTGCTAAGATCACGCTTAAGACGTTTCAATACATTGGATGTCTTAATCCTTAAGAGAAAAAAATTGTTTTAAAAAATAATATATTAATTATCGTCGAAAAATTATCACCCATTGATGGGTCCGCAGTTGACAAATAAATTGTCAATTAGTAGACATATGATCAACAATTGTATCAATTTTGAGTCCATTGTATTCAATCGGATGCCTATTTAGTTTGTAAATATAGTTTGTAAATCATATAATAATAGTTATATTATATATGTTTTTATTATTAACTAAATATCAATAATACAGAATTCATACGATTTATATACCCTATTATAAAATATTATTTGTTTATATTATAATCAATAAAAAAAAGTTTGATTAAGTAGATTTGTGAATAAATATTTTTATTTTATTTACAATTACATTATTATTAATTATCATAATCTCATCCATGATCTAGTGGTGGCAATGTTTAAACTTATCAATTGCTTATAACTGGTTTAAAAATAAAATTATGACTAATTAATTTTAATATTATTTCAAATAATTTATTTGTTGCTTTTAAAAGAATATACAGTATATATTGATATAATTTATAAATAATTTTATTTATTAGTTACATGTAATTGTAAAATAAACTTTTTTTTAAATGTTATACAATATAAAAAATTAATTAAAATGTGTATTAGTTACTATACTTATTATGTATTTTTGTTTAATTAAAATTATCTATCATTAGGTAAGTTATATATATATATATTGATATTAATTATTTCATTATTATAAATAAAATTATGTATTGATAATAATTATTTATTTTATAACAGTATATTTAATATAATTAAAAGTTTATAATTGATTTATAAATCTAGTATCCAATCAATTATTTTTAATTTATTGTTCGTAATTTTGCGGTAAACTTTACTTTGTTGGACATACAGGACAGCTGTTTGGTATTGTCCACTACTATATGACTGTCCATTTGGAAAAACAGTGGGCAGTGTATAGGTTCGAGGGGACTGATATTACAATAATTAGAAAAATTATAATTAATATCATTAAATAAATTTACTAAATAATATAAATATGTTATACGATAGATACATACGTCTGTTTGTGGTTCACCATTAGATACTGGAGCTGACAATTGAACGGCATCTAAAATGTAAGGGAAAAAAGGCAATCAATTTATTTAATAAGATTTTAAGCAAAACATATATATATATACAGTATATATACAGTATGTGTCTATACCTTTGCCATTACGACTACGGCTTTCCTCAATCAGGCAATTATCAGCGACTACTACTTCACGATTGTCGGTCACTTGACTACCGTCGGGATCGATCGAGATTTCAATTTTATCGGCCAATTCATCAGTCATTGTTGTAGTTGTAGTTGTTGTTGTCATTGATGTTGTCTGAGTTGTGTTGTCCACAATTGTCTCGTTAATAATGGTTTCAGCAATTATATTAGATATCAATTGGTTGGCACAGTTTTTTACATATTTGACCCCTTTTTTTGGATTAATTAGATCCACTTTATTTAGTGGTAATTCAACGAGAACTAAATTATTGATACCATAGCCGCCTATAGACAAGTTAAGTTTGTAGTTAATTATGACCGGACACTGTTGTTGTTGTAGTTGTTGTTGTTGGGAACTGTTGTTGTCGACAGTCACCGAAAACTGTAGTTTAAGCTCTTTGAATTGACTGCATTTATGGAAACGCAACTCTAATTTCTGGACAGTTATCAAATACACACAATTGTTGGTGTTGTTGGTGTTGTTGTCTAATTTGCTATTCAGATAACCATCTAAATTATAATTAATAATTGTAAAAAATTTTGAGAGAAAAATAAAATAAATTATTTTAATTATATGAGTTTTTATCGTTGTTGTTGTTGTTGTTGTTGTTGTTGATAAAACTGTAAGTATACCTGGAATGTACCCAAAGAGACAATCGACGAAAACCTCATTGAATGGATTGGTATAGTTAGTCATGTTTAGTACATCCATGGTATCGATGAGACATATTAACGACTGATCATTGTTTTGTTGGTCACGTTTAAGTCGTTTAGATTCATTGTATGTCTTTAGTCTAAAGTACCCAAAAAACAAAACAAAAATATTTAATAATAATCATAGTATTAGTTATTTTTCAAAAAAAAAAATTATTACCCATTAATAGGACCACAATTAACCAAATAGTTGCCAATTAGTAGACATATAACCAACAATTGTAAACTTTTTGCGTCCATTGTATTTAAATTGATTACACATTTAGCTTGCATAAGTTTTATAAAAAAAATATATGATTTTATTAACAATACTGTATATAAAATAATAAAGAATAACAAGTAAATACAGTATACTGTTTATATACCCTAATAAATAAATTTAAAAAATTTCATACAATTAGTAATATTATATGAAGTAAAGTTAAAAATAAATTATTATTTAATTATATGAAATTATATCCAAAAATTACTTTGTCATACCAGGATCTATTGTTTATTATTTTTATAAAACTATTTTTTTAACTGATTTAAATTTTAAATAAATAGACTAATTTAATTTATAAGTAACTTAAATAACTTGATTAATGTGAATATATATTTTTAAAATAAATAAAAATATAATATTATAATAATAATAATACTGTTAACATTTAGTATTAGTCACAATTTATAGTTTCTATTAATTTAATAACATGATATTTTTTGATAATTTAATATCTAATTTAAAAATAACTATTATAATATTGATATATAAAAACAATAAATTGTTATTACATAACTAGTATTACTTAAAAAAATAATTAGTAATAGTAAAAGTATTTTTTATAAAAATAAATAACTAAAAAACTAAAATTAACAACTAAAAATAAATCAATAAATTTAAAATTTTATTTTTAAAGTATATTTTAAGTGATAATAAAAATTAATATAATTAATTATACCACACTTTTGTATTATTTTATTAGTGTAATTAACATATTTATATATTTAGTAAAAATAATAATAATTTTTAATGTAAATTATAAAAACAAAATTACAATTAAAAATAAATTACAATTAAATTATTATTTATAGAATATTCTTATAAATATTTTTCATTTAAACAACAAAAAAAGTTTTCATGCATTCAGTATATTATGATATGATTTACTACTACTAAAGCATTACGTCATTGACTGCAATACTAAACAAAATTTTTTAAAAAATAAAAACATTTATTATTTTGAAAACAAATTTCAAAAACACATTTTGAAAACATTTATTTTGGAGAAAATTTTTTTTTTTTTTGAAATGTTGTGTCAATTGGTGACCAAAACCTGTTTGCGGGATAACAAGTCCTGGAAGATAATGAAGACATTTTGTCCACTATTAAGACTATTGTCCACTTCGTCGTCGACGACGACAATCTACTCGTTGTCGACCAATATTAAGCCCGTCGGCAGTGCTATTGCTGTGATCCGTATCTCTGGCCACAAGACATTTGACGCGTTGTCTTATTTGATCAAAAATCCTAAAACAGTGGCCAAATGTGTAGCCAATCCGCGTACAGCTGTCTTCGCCAAACTCTACGACGTCGAGGCCCAGGAACTGCTGGATTCGTCGATTGTTATCTGTTTTAGTCGGCCGTCGAGCTATACGGGCGAAGATATGTGCGAACTTCATGTTCACGGATCCAATGCCGTCATCGGCGGTGTACTACAGGTATTGAGCCGTATAGACGGTCTGCGGCCATCAGAGACGGGCGAGTTTACCAAACGTGCGCTTATGAACGGCAAAATGGATTTGATTGGTGTCGAGGCCATCAACGACCTGATCCACGCTCAGACTCTATCGCAACGACGGCGAGCATTGAGTGCAATGAGCGGATCAGTTTCACAGCTATACGATAACTGGAGGACCGATATTATCAAACTGAGAGCCAATATCGAGGTTTGCATTGACTTTGGCGAAGAAGAGCTGATCGATGCAAACGTTTTCGTCGGACTTAAGACACAAATGTTACAAATGATAGACAGTTTGAACAGACATTTGGATAAATGCAAGACCAGAAGCGATCTAATCAAAGATGGTATCAGAGTGGCCATCATTGGTGAACCAAATGTCGGCAAAAGTAGTCTAATTAATCGTTTATGTGAACGAGATTTGTCTATTGTATCGCCGATCAGCGGCACCACCAGAGACGTTGTCGAAACGTGGATCAACTTAGATGGCTATTCGGTGTCCATATCGGACACTGCGGGTATCAAAGATCTCGACAAACAATTGGACGATTGTATCGAAAGAGAGGGAATAGTCAGAGCCATCAATAGGTTTTTGTTGCCAATCATTATTGTCGACCCATTTCTAACTTTTGTAATAACATTTTTAGAGCCAAAAACTCGGACCTAATGTTGGTTGTGTTGGACGCAACCACTCTTGTCGATGACGATAACGGTTCCGATAGTCTGAATGGACAACAACTGTTTGAACAACCAATTTATTTAAGACAATTAGACAATGATTTGTGCAATAAATCTATTTACATAATCAACAAAATTGATTTATTATCAGAAAATCAATACAATCGGCTGCGACAAGAGTGCAGTCGCCGCAGCAAATTGTCCACCAATTGGTCGCTGATTAGCTGTAAATCTTCCGACGGTTTCGATGATCTGATCGCACAGTTGTCACAAACTGTACAACATTTGTGCGGAAATCCAATGAATGAGACGCTGTTCATCAATGAGAGACATGAGGCACATATCCGGCGAGCCGTCCAACAAATCCAAGAGTCGATCCAAGCCATCGACAATGACGTTGCAGTGGCCGCCCATCATCTGCGAGAGGCGGCCCAACAAATCGCTTATATAACCGGAAGAATCTCTACGGAAGACATTTTAGATGTCATTTTTAGAGACTTTTGTATTGGAAAATAAAATCATCAAAAAAAAACAAATCAAACAAAAAACTATTGATACAAATGATATCAAATTGTTTTGTATGTGACTATCATATCGACTAAACCTATCAATTGTTACACCAAAACAAACAAAAAACACGACTGACTTTTCTCTCGCGGATATTGTTTTTATATCATATATAAACGGATCCGTCGCTCGGCTTCAGATAACCAGTAGCTATGAGTATGACATCGATTAGTGTCCAGACGCCGAGTCCGCCGAAACTGAACAGTTTGCCGACGCCTTCCTGCCAGAGACCCAAATAGAAACGATCGATACCGAAGCCGCCGAGCGTTACACTTTGAAAAACAAAACAAAAGTGGTCACAAAATTATCAATTGGTGTCCATCTACACACACTATCCCATACCTCAACAGTAGTGCCGTCGACCACTTATATCCCGACACAAAGTTACACTTTCGGTACTTTTGAAACGATCGTTTGCCGAGACAGAGTACGTGCGGCCGCGCGTGACAAACGGCTTTGTATTGATAGTTGTAATTACACGACGAATTGGTCGTACATTCGTACCGATCTTCGGGCAATTGATAGCAAAATGCACACAAATGGCTGACACTGAAGTTGTTGTCACCCTATAAGTGATATATCATCAGTTGATTAGCCGTATATCGCCGCACACCGAACATATCTTACCGAACAGTGGACATTATCGGTCGGCCGGCATTCGGTAGTCACGTTATGGCCGTATTCACACGAATAGTTGAACCGACAGTTTAGACAATCGTAACTTAAGTGATCGCACCGTTTCTGGCCGTCGCTGTTGATGCAGGCGCTCAGTTCGCTCACTTGACTCGAGTCCATAGTATCACTTCCGCCGACGACGGTGGTGGTGGTCATTGTGATGATGGTTAGCCAAATGATGGCCAAACATGTGTAGCGTTGGCCACTGTTGGCGCCGCCGATAGTTAGTGTCATTGCCGATGACTGTGTCGTTCAATAATAATAGCTGTCATACAGTAGTAAACTGATTGACTGTTTGTTTTATACTGTAATCACATGTACTGTATATGTATTTGAATGCCATCTCTCAGTGCATTATATTATCAAAACAAAAATATAACTGTTTTTTCTCATAAATTAGTGAATTATATAAACTTTTTTTTTATTAAAAAAAACATTGATTTCTAAAAATTAAATTATAACTAATATTATAATAAATTGAAAATTTTTGATAATTGTATTTGAATTTTATAGTTAATTTAGTTTACAATTTTCATAATAACATAACAAATGTTTATTTTATTTTTAAATATAAATATTTGATTAAAATATAATAATTCATGAATTAATAAAATACATAATATAATAAATGTAAAAATAAGAAGATATTAATTAAAATTTATGATTAATTGACATATAATAAACTGATTATACTGTATATATGATATATATTTATATTATAAATAATAAGTTAATTATATACTGTATATACACATATATATGTATATAAATAACAATATAGATTTTTTTTTCATTAACATAACACAAATATAATATAGGAATATACGATATAAATAATATACTAAAAAATAACAGACAAAATGTTTAAAAAAACAAAAAACAATAAAACTTTTTTAAAAATAATAAATCTTACGGTAAAATGAATAATAATAATAATAATAATAATAATAATAATAATAATAATAATAATAATAATTGATTAGTCAGTCAACATCTTAATAATATTGTCCACTCGTTTCTTATCGTTAGCTTTTAGCTGATATCGATCGGCGGCAATGTTGGCCATCAAACACTTGTGAAAATTCATGATTTCCTGCTTAAGTGCTGTCAGTTTGTCCTTCAATCGGGGATTTTTATTCTCTTGGAATGAATAAATTGATTCATTTTTTTGTTTATCGGCCTTCAGTTTGAGCCGATGTTTGGCTGACGCCTCCTTTTCTCTCTTTTTCTTTCGCTTTAACCTTTCTTCAACTGGAAGTGCTGGTCGTCCTCTGCCTCGTCGGACAACAACGTCTGCGACTTGTATCTCAATCTCCTGGCCGGCCAACGGAGCGTCAAACAAGTCTTCGATACGCTGGTCTTCGATGGTATTGTCAGCATCAGCAGCAACAATACCGACGGCTTTTGACTGTTTGCTGCTATTGTCCGCTATAAGGATATAATAATATGATTAACGAAAAATACTGGACGACTGGTTAACGTAATACCTTTGGTAAGTATTGAAGTACTAGACTCGCAAAGTTCGGGTAGTTTAGAGTTTATGGTGTCGGCTAATATATCGTTAGCGCGTTTAGTGGCCGCCGCCACCACCACTTGACCAGTAGTCGGTACTGATAAAACCGTAGCCGCTATCACTGTCGCCGCCACTGATGGTAGAACAGGAACCGTCAGTTGGTTTATACGGATAGAGTCCGACACGAACTGTCCGTCCGTACTGTCCATGTCCTCAAACGGTAAATCATACATCTCTTGGATGGTGTTTTGTTCCCATTTGAAGACATCGACCAGCGATTGATTGTCACTCATATTGTGTTCACCGAGTGTTTTATGAGACACTTTTTTGTGGTCAAAAAAAATTAAATATCGGACAACTTTCGGGTCAACCGATGATAATTAAAAATATATATATTTTATAAACGACTTGAAAGACAACAAAACAAACACACAATGAAAATGTCGGATCAGTTATACAATCACTGACTGACTCTCTCTTTAACTCTCTCTCTCTCTCCATGTCTTACGTCACGCCCGACGACCACAACAACAACCACTGCAACAACTTGTAGTGACAACAATAGCTGATCGCTGATTGGCTTAAAATTGTTTAGATTAGCATTTGATTGGTTAGATTCTAGTTATAAGCATAGATACGTACATTCAATAGTAGTGCCGTCTCTATACAAATATGTTAAACACAATAATAGGTGTAATTAGTTATCATTCAATATATAACTAATAATATAATAATTAATTAATTAATATAGAAATTAATTTGTGATTATTAATCATAATAATAATACATTAACTATAATATATATATTTCTCATTTTTGGTTTCAGTTATCATATTTCTTTAATTTATTTATTATTATTATTATTATTATTATTTTTAAGCTGCAATATTGCATCAAATTGTTGCAATAATACATTAGTACTCATCATAAGTATTATATATAAATTTATACAGTACTGTACTAATACACTAACATATAATTTATATGATATATAGCAAGTGTTAGTCCAAAGTTTAACTTTTTATTAGATGAAAGAGAGAGAGAGAGAGAGAGAGAGAGAGAGAGAGAGAGAGAGAGAGAGAGACTTTGCTTTTTTGTTATATCAATTGAAACACCATTTGTTTTGTGGACTAAAAGAAAAGTTTTTAGTGTTTTCTCACAAAATACAGTCATTTATATTCTGTATATCATTTCGGCTTATATTCAACACACAGTTAACAAACAAAACCAAATACTGTATAATAATAAATCATTTTAATTCTCTATTTAAAAAAAAGTCTTAAAAAATAGCTATTTTTTACTCGTGTAGTGTTTTTTTAACAGTATATAACCTAAACATTTGTATCAAATACCCAATTGTGTGGTGTGTTTAACAAACTAAATGTATGTTTGGTTTTATACACTGTTTTCATAAAGCATTCTCTAAAAAAATTCAAAATTTCTTAATAAAAACACTAATTATTTACAGGAATTTTAAAGTTTAGACAAAAACACATAAACTTTGAGATAAATTACACTTTAAATACATAATAATTTTTTTTTAAAAACCATATTTACAAAGTATGAGGTGTAAAGCACATGCGTTACACATACATGTATATCGTATTTGTTAAAAAATATTTGCTATTTTTTCACTTAATATTTTATGTCAAATATAAATATCAAACTCTTTAAACTGATTAATAATTATTATTAATTATTATTATAAAAGTAATGCTAAAGTGCATTAAGCTTAATGAAAACAATTATATCATATAATTTATTTTAATAGAAATAAAGAGAGAAAGAGAGAGAGTCAGAGAGAGAGAGAGAGAGAGAGAGAGAGAGAGAGAGAGAGAGAGAGATATTTATTTCAATTATGTGGTCAACAATACGTTGTATTTAAAAGTGACCAAGGGCAATGTCTTAGTTAATTTTTAACTAAATAAAATTCTACTTGGTCATTTTTTTAAAAATTAATTGTGTGATTGGGCAAATAATTTCTGTCGACTATTATTATTATTATTATTATTATTTAATTTTTTAACAATCGATTTTTGTAAATTATCTGACTAATCACACAATTAATTTTTAAATTGACCAGTTTAAAATTATCTACAACATTGCCATCATGGTCACTTTTAAATCCAACGTATTGTTGACCAGATTAATGAAATTAATAGCATCGCCGCCGTCACCGCTGTTTAAGACTCTCTGTGGGAAATACTTGAAGATAATGTTTATAAAAATAATTTATAATTATATTATAAACTTTGAAAATAAAGCACTGGTATATCAAAATCACTTAATCAGTGCAATAGTAGTGCAATTTGTTGCCAATCATTATTGTCGACCTTTTTCACCAACTCCTGAAAGCAGTACGTATATGAATTCTATAAGTCTGTCTGTCTGTCCCACGAGGACATAGGGTCGAATCCACGCTCTGCTACACTAATTTTTTTTCATTTAAGGAATTCGTATGGAAATGCTTTCTAGCATTCTCAACTGGTTTTTAATAGTTTTTTTGTTTGTTTTTGGTTTGTATTTAATGTTTTTACATATTATTTCATATATATATGAAATTTATTTAAAGTTTTCTCAAATGGACTTTAAAGCCATTAATTTAAATGGTTTCCTCAAAAAAAATATAGTATAATAATAAATCATTTAATTTCTCTCTCTCTCTCTCTCTCTCTCTCTCTCTCTCTCTCTATTAGTCTAAAAAATTATTTATTTATTTTAGTCCCAAAGTTTTGTTTTAGTTATTCTAAACTTGAATTAAAATTTATAAATAATTATATCAATTGTTTCACTCAATATCAAAAACACTGGTATGTCTCCAATGGCTATCATTGCAATAGTAGTATTTAATTTAGTTAATAAATATATTATTAATTTATATATTAATTAAATAGTATTGTATGTTAATATTAAGTAGATTTCTGTGTAATATTATATTATTGTCTATTTGATTGAACAGTATTGACATAATATGGGTTTTAAATTACAATACAATGTATAAAATAGGAAATACAAAGTGTTTTTTGTTTGTTTGATGTTATTATTTAAATACAATTTTCAGTAAGTGTTTGATGAAAATTTAATTTTCTAATAACACTTTTATTTGATTAAATTGAAAAAACGAAAAAGTTTAGTATTTTATCTTTAAAAAAGAGTAAAATTTATTTAAAAAACTGTTTCAATATTTTTAGATATAATAATATCAATGTTTTATTTTATTAATATATCGATTATATTAGGTAATTAAAAGTTACAAATTATTATTACTTATTTTTTTAAATAAAAAATTATAATTAAAATATTATTGTTAGTAATATTATATTAATATAATTTTGTATAATAAAAATATTATAATATATAATATATTCAATATATATATAATTAGTAATTATATTTTGATTCAGTATTTTATTTATTTATTATTCAAAAGTTATTCCGATATCTGACCCGATATCTGGTCGATAGTCTCTGTTCTTTCAAATTCTTTAGTTTTGTCCCCATTTCACCAGTAAGTGGCGGTCGTCCTCTGCTTCGTCGGACAATAGCTGCCGCCTTCCCTACGACTTGTATGTCAACCTCCATCGGACCGGCCATCGGAGTCAACAAGTCTTCGATAGGCTTGTCTTCGATGGCATTGCCGACATCAACAATGCCGACGGCTTTCTTTTGTTTGATGCCATTGTCCACAAAAAATACCGGACGACTGGTCATAATACCATTGGTAAGTATGAAAGTACTGGACTGGCAAAGCATATCATTGTTAGCGTGTTTAGTGGCCATCACTTGACCAGTGGTCGGTACTGATGATACCGTAGCCATCACTGATGGTATGACGGGAACAGTCAGTTCTTGACCGCCGATCGAATCCGACACAAACTGTCCATTCATAGTATCTTCTTCTATACAATCTATGTCTCCAATCAATGGTAAGACAAACATTTCTTGCATCTTATTTTGCAACCATATGAAGACATCGTCCAATAATTGTTTGTCCATTCATTCGTGTGGATCAACCGCTGTATTCTTCAAGTTTTTATGAGACACTTTTTCGGGTCAACCGATGATTTAGAAAATATTTAAAACGACTTGAAATACAATCAAAACAAATACACAATGAAAATGTCTGATCAGTTACTCATCACTGACTAAATCTCTCTCTCTCTCTCTCTCTCTCTCTCCATGTCTTACGTCACGACCGACATCCACAAGAAACAGCCACTACAAGAACCTATAGTGACAAATCATCGCTGATTGGCTAACAATTGTTTAGATCAACATTTGATTGGTTTAATATTGGAAGTACTGGTCGCGCAATGTTACTGTAGAATAGTTTAAGAGATTCTTGTTTTACGGCCAATTAGGTCGTAAGTGGCCATCACCTGACCAGTTGTTTATCGGTACTTATGATACCGTAACCACTGATAGCACAACAGGGGGACAGTCCGGTTGGTGTCCGCGGTATTATCATTAATCAATGGGTTCCCAACTATTTTTACTACTAGTAGTGTCATTACAATAATTGTCGATTGGATTATTTGATTTGTAATATTAGATTTGATTTTTAATATTATTAACAACTATACTAAAAGTATTTGACCAAAAAAATTATATTATTTTTTGTTTGTTATTAATAGACACTCACTCTTTTTGGACGGTCTGGTTATAAACTACTTTTCCGACTAAACAATTGGTGGCCGCGGATCGCGATGTCTTCAATTGTGACCGACTCGTCTCTGTTGTCCTGTTGTTGTTATGAGAAAAACAAATATTTTTTTTTAGTTTTAAATTCACAAACTTTTAATATCAAAATATTATTATTATTTTAAAATATATATACAGTACAATAGTATTATATACCAAAAAGTTGTTTTATAGGCTAAAAAAATATCAGTAGCTTTTAAGACAACAAACATATTACACAAAAAACACAATGAAAATGTTGGATTAAATGATTAATTATTTTGCGATTTTAAATACTAATAATAGATATAATGATAATAACAAAATTTTCTTTCAGGATATTATATATAGATATTATCATCTATTCAATAACATACTGACAAAAAACAAGTGTTAGTTTACTAACTTTTAAAACTAATTATTTGATGAAAGAGAGAAACTTTAACTTTTATGTATCAATTAATATCATATGCTTTGTATTCTTAAAAAAAAGTTTTAGTTTTTTTATTTGTTTGTTTTTAGTTTAATGTTTAACATATAATTTTAAATAAATATCACATATATTATATATATATTCAGTTGTTTATATAGTATATCATTTAAAGTTTTATTCAAATGGACTTTAAAGTCATTAATTTAAATGGCTTCACAAAAAATACAAAAATATTCTGTATATTGTTTCAGCTTATATTGAACACAGAGTTAACAAAAAAAACTTTAAATCATTCATTTCTGTCTCTTTTTCTGTCTCTCTCTTTCTTTCTCTCGTCAACTGTAGGGCTGTCCTCATAGGTGTTGCAAATAGTGTGTGAATATTACCCATCATAATTGCAATCGTAATCAATGGGTTGCCATATATTACAGTAATATTTTTCTAGAGTGTCGACTGGATTATCAATAAAACTTAAAATAAGTTTAAGAATATTAAAAACAATTTTATGCTATATTTTTGTTATCTATTAATTAAATTGTATATTGATTTTAATAATAACAATACTGTTTTTAATGAAATGATTGTTTATATACTAGTATTTAGTATCTATTATAATATACAGTATTGTTGTATATTTTAATTGAAAATAATATAAATTACTTTTTAAAATTATTTTTCTTCTTATTTTAAATATATCATAATATAATTCTGTAATAATTATTTATTTTCAGTAACATATATTATTTTTATTTAAGTATTACTAAAATAAAAATTTATTTAAATAATGTTTTTTATTGACAAAAAACTTTAAATTACAAAAAAAATTATATATACTTTGAAAAAGATAGGATTATAAATATTTTTGATGATTTTTGTTGTTTGCAATTAATAATAATTATAATTATTATTATAATGAGATTATAATTCAAATGTAAATTATAATTAAATTAAATATTATTTTATAACTACACATCTAATATTTGTATAATTTAAATACATTTTCATATATATATATATAATTAATATTTATAATAATTAAATATAAACTTTTAATGCCAATTGAAATAAATCATGTATTGACTACTAAATAATTAGTTTATATTATGATATACTGTATAATATGAGTGTTTTAAGGCACCAAATGAATTGATATTATAATGTAATTTAAATATATATTTATATCATTATTACTCCTCATCGGGAGTAATGTTGGGCACAATCTTCTTGTTTTTAGGCCTATCCTTGCGATTCTGTCGATTACCGCACGGCTTGCGTATGAGTTTAGTCGGTTCACAGGCCGACCGGACTCCCGGTTCCGACTGCAGTGTCAATGTCTTTGTCTTGAAGCCACTCTCACAGGAAGACCACTCGCTTTTCACGTAATTGCACTCTAATTGGTGATCAAAAAAAAAATTTTTTTACTACTATTACTAAATTAATTAATTTAATTATAACTAAAAAATCTGTAATTATTAATCAATCATTGGTTTTGTCCCAACAAAACAAAAAAACTAACGCTCTTTGCAGGCTTTGGTAATATTTCTGGTCGGTTCGCAACCGGCCGTCGAAACCGGTTTCAAATTGTCTGTCCGGTGTTTGGATCCGTTCACACAATCAGTCCACACGCCCTTTGAATACCGACAGTCTATATATAAAACAAACAATTTTTTTTTTTTAAATGAATTACCGATAAATAGGATTTTTAATATTAGTTACAACTATACTAAAAGTATTGACCAAAAAAAAAATTATATTATTTTTTGTTTGTTATTAATAGACACTCACTCTTTTTGCACGGTCTGGTTATAAACTTTTCCGACTCACAATTGGTGGCCGCGGATCGCGATGTCTTCAATTTGAGTACTCGTCTCTGTTGTCCTGTTTTTTTGTTGGTTGTTGTTGTTATGAGAGAGAGAGAGAGAGAGAGAGAGAGAGAGAGAGAAACAAATATTTTTGTTTTAATATAAAAATATTATTATTATTATTTATATACAGTAGTAGTAGTTATATACCATTGCTGTCGCACTCCTCCCACGCCTCCTTATCGTAACGACAATCTGTTTTTGTTAATAATAATAAAAAAACAATTTTTGTTTATAACAAAAAAACATATGAATATATTTATAAATTTATAGTCAATTTTTAAGATAAATTATTAAATAGATTATTTTGTCAAAACTAATGCAATATTTTATAGTTTTAATTAAAAAAATTATTTAACAATCACTTACCCGATTGGTGATGACCTTTCTTATCATTGGCCGCTCGGATCAGTCGGTTAAGTGTCATTTGGTGTTGAAATGCGTCGACAAAGTTATCGATTAAAGCGATGGACAACAAAATTGTCAATATTTTGAATTTCATTTTTTTTTATTTGTAGTTGTTTTGTACCAAAATTTTTTTTAAACAATTTTAAATTGAATTATATATCTGGAAAAAAATTAATATTTTTTTAATCAATAAATATTATAAGAAAATAAATAAACTTTTTAGATAAGCTTATTAATAAAGTGATAGGTTATTAATACTAAATAATATATATTTATTTTTATATATAAAGTTATATTATTTTCTATTTAATAACAAAAAATATTGTTTTCAAACTCACACAAACAGACTAACAAAATAAATAAATAAATATTTTTTTTGAGTTATAAAACATAAAACTTCTTAAACTCTTCAACTAAGTTGTCGTCTGATTTATCAACAAATTTCTTAACCACACAATTATATGAACCAACAAAAAAACAGTGAAATATAACTTAAGAGAGAAAGAGAGGAAAGGGAAGAAAGTAATCAACAAATACTTTATATACAAACAAAACTAAATGTCCGCCAAAATTGTGATCAATTTCATTGATACTAATAAGGAAACAGCCATTCAATTTAGATTAGATTTTATTTAATCAATTTTTATCAAAATAACATTAGTATTCAATATATATATATATACTTTATATATTAAGTATGTATATAATATTTATATAATGTATATAACATTCAATGATTGCTCTGTTCATAACATAATATACAACAAGTATTACTATTAATATTATATATTATGTAAGTATTGGCTACGCCTTGAATATGTTGTTATCAATGGATGTATTGAATGGTATGTCTTGTTTTGCAAAGACCTTACTATTTAGTTAATACTATTAAACAGTAGATATATTATTATTATTATTACTATTTTGTATAATATAAGTAGCAATTATAACTTATAACTAAAATAAAAAGTTTTCTTACATTTTACAATAATACTCTATAAAATATTATTACAATTATTGTTGCATTAATTTTTAAATATTAAATAAATATTAAATATATTAAAAGAGAAAACAAAACTTACATTTAATTGACGGATGAAAACAACTCCTCCTTGAAGTCCTCTTGAATTTTTGTGAATACCAGACCTCAAACACACAACAGCATACCAGTGCTCAAACGATATCCATCTCTCTCTCTCTCTCTCTCTCTCTYTCTCTCTCTCTCTCTCTCTCTCTCTCTCTCTCTCTCTCTCTCTCTCTCTCTCTTAGGCTGCGCCCGAGTCTCACAATAAACACACACAAAGTTTTTGGCAAATGTCCGACAAATATGACACCAAAAATAAATTGTTTTCAACTGATAAATAATCTGTTTTGACAACTTTATTATTTATTTAATTTTTAAATAATCAAATCAAATTAAATCTAATTTATTATTTTTATTGTTGTTTTTTTTTGTTATTGGTGTTGGTATTGTACATTTAAGTTAGTTTAATTTGTTTAAATTAATATTATGTAAAATGTGATAATACAGTAGAAACAGATTTTTAAATAATTGTTTTTTTTAAAAATACTTTTTATTTGCTTTTTAAATGTTTTTCAGAAAATAAACGTCAATTCATATGACCTCTCATTTGATAAGCACATGAACTTCAGTACAACTTTTTCTGTGGAGAGAGAGAGAGAGAGAGAGAGAGAGAGAGAGACTGTATGTTATGTGCCTACAAGTGATGGTTAATTTGTTGGTTGACTCTCTGAGCACTGGGATCTAGAAGTCAATCGCCCATCAGATCAGTCATTCACCAGAAATGCAATACATTTTTGTTGTTGAAAAACATGAGTTTAGTATTACTGTATAATAAATGAATCACTGAATGAATGAACTGTTTGGTTGTTTTTATGGCTTATTTCGACAACTATTAGTGCATTCATTTAAAAAAACAAAATTTTTGTTTTACATAAAAAATTTATTTAATTTATTATTTAGATAAAAATATTTATAAGTATAATAAAATTATAAACAATGATATTCTTAAAATTAAAATTATTATAAAATTAATCAAAACAAACAATTAATTAAAAACAAGCATATGTTTAGTAAAAATATAGATATTTTTTTAAAAATAAATTTAATTTATGTATAGATATCATGCTATAATAGTATTATAATATAATAAAAGTTAATTTTTTATATATATATATACTGATATATTTTTTTATTACCTTATATTAATACAGCTTCAGTACAGAATTAGTACAGAATCAATATATAGATAACTTTTGCTTTAAATACACTAAATTATTTTAATAAACCTAATAGTAATATATGATTAGCAAAAAAATTGATGACAAACATTAGAAACTCCCAGTTATTCATTGAAAACAAATTGAGACAATAAAAGCCAATTTCCGGTTCCCTTAAGTGTTCAATAAATTGTAATAATCGATATTTTTGTTGATATGAATATGAATTTTTAGCGATTGCCGTATAGACTATGGTTTGTGGTTTATGGGCATAGGTAGTGATCCAAGTGGACAGTATGTTCATTAAAAACAATATGTTAATGAATAGTACAAAAATACAGGTAAATATATATTGGGACACTGCTTGGGTGTTGGGATCGGATATATAAAACAATAGTAACTCAAAACCTGGTACCGATATATAATACATGACAAACATTGTATATTGAAATGTATGATTAAATTTAATAACCATTACATTAATAGTATTATGATCATCGATTGCTTGTTTTAATTTCCGATAATTACCGGTTTTGATGGCAACCAAAATAAAATTGTTAACCTCGATAAACCTGTACTTTAGATAACAGCATACCATAAACCAGATTACAATAGTAGTGGTCATCTGGGCGGCCAACTGACTGATCGACAACGAATTGATTAGCTTAGCCAACACAATGGCTAATATAGTGAATCCAGAATCGGGATCCAAATAAGCCATAACCAGTGCATAACCGGTGTATATATTAATTAGTATAATAATTACCCAATAGGTTTGATTTATATAGTGATTGCATAAAAATTTAATATACATTGCAAATGATTTGCTATGATTCAATGATAGCCGCAATTGTCTATTGTGTCTATAATTGTCAATAAAGTCTAATATATACCATTGATTTGTCCATTCGTGATACTGATAGGCAATGCCTACAAGCAAGCCGTCTAGAGCTCCGTTACCAAACACTGCCGACAATACTACTGGATCGCCAAATATGTAGTTGGCATCGGCTACCAGTGCCCTGAAATCTGGCCGATTGACAATTGCCGAGACAGTGAATCGGAGAAACGATAAAAATACTATCGATTTGATTAAAATAGCAAATAAATGGCGTTTTCTATTACTTCGGCCTAAAATATAGTCATCGATTGTGCGATTAATAACATAATGTTTGTAGAAAAATGTTTCCAATTTATTAGCAATATATTCATTATCCATAATCTCTTTTGTAATAAATAGATAAATATTATTATAAATTAAAATACATATTTAATTATTTTTTAAAAACTTTATTTAATAAATATTAAATAAATTTTCATAAAAATTTGTTATAAATATTTAATGTTAATTAATCACTTTCTTTTAGCCCAAACTTAGTATTTAACTGCTAATAACTAGCGATATATTGGACACATGTTTGAGATAATACTTTCATTCGTCAGCACTGGTTGTCAACTGAGATATATATATAGTAATTGAATATATTGTGTGAATGTTTGTAATTTTATAAAAATTTTAATTTAAACTAGTTTGTCCCGAGCAACATGTATAGCCGTGCAATTCTTTTACTAATTTAAAAATATTTACTATAAGTAATTTGAATGAGACTTAATTTGTTTATACAACTACTACATAACCTAATGTAACAAAACTACTGAACCAATACACATTACTTTTGAGAAATTTTAGTTTTTATATATATTTAAATAATTTTAATAAAAATTGAAAATTTAATTTTTGCGAAAAAAAATTTGCATTTGAAAAAAATTTACTGAAATTTAACACATGTAGCTAACATGTGCCATAAACTCACACAATATAGCAAAGTGTAATTACACGACACACCAGCCTACCTGTCCCTAAAACCTACCTGAGCTCAACAAAAATTTAAAATTTCCCATAGAAATAACATTACTTTAAATAAAAATTGAAAATTTTAACACAAATTGAAAATTTTTGCATTTGAGAAAATTTTACAAAAATTTAGCACAGGTAGCTTACCTCCCGGTGCCCTGTAACTCATATAATATAGCAAAGTGTAATTACACGACACCAGCCTACCTGTCCCTAAAACCTACCTGAGCTCAATAATCATTTAAAATTTCCCATAGAAATAACATTGCTTTAAATTAAAATTGAAAATTTTAACACAAATTGAAAATTTTTGCATTTGAGAAAATTTTGCAAAAAATTAGCACAGGTAGCTTACCTCCCGGTGCCCTGTAACTCATATAATATAGCAAAGTGTAATTACACGACACCAGCCTACCTGTCCCTAAAACCTACCTGAGCTCAATAATCATTTAAAATTTCCCATAGAAATAACATTACTTAAAATTAAAAGTGAAAATATAACAATATATTTTTAGCTTTGAATTAAAAAATGGTTGTTGAGGAAGTGTGCACACATACAAACAAACAAACAAACAAACAAACAAACAAACAAACAAACAAACAAACAAACAAACAAACAAACAAACAAACAAACAAACAAACAAACAAACAAACAAACAAACAAACAGACAAAACTATTATATTAAAATTATTAGGATGACAAATTTATTATTGTATATATAATTGTATGATATATTATAACATATAATGACAGATAATAATTAATTTGCAACACAACACAAAACTTAATAAATTTATAGTTATTTTTTTTTAATGAGAATATTTGCATATTTTTTATAACATCAATTATAAAGCAAATTACTGTAAGTAATTGCCTAATAAGTTATAAGAATATATGATAATAACTTATAATTTATTGTTATAATTTTATAACAATTTTGTATATATATATATAACAAATAATAAAACTAAATTAAACTATACTATTAATATTGAACAATTTATTAAATTTATATTTTTAAATTTGGTAAAATTTTAATAATTATTATTTGATAATGTTAAATTTAGTAAAATAAATGTAGGTTATAAATAAATGTCATAAAATTTATTAGCAATTATTTTTGTTAGATCATAGACAATAAAAATATTTATTTTAGATTAAATATTATAGATTTTCATATAAATTTGTGAGTATGATATGGTATAAAAAAATTAATTTATTTAATTTATTTATTTTATCAAAATATTTATATATAAAAAAAATCAAATAAAAGATAATTGATTAACATATTACACAATATTGGATAATTATTGCAATAATGATTATAATTATTAATGATAATGATATTAAGTTTTATAATAGTAGTGTATATATTAATTTTAAACAAAAAACAATTGTTCAAATTAATTTATTAATTTAGTTCAATATACACATATAAATTATATAATATTAATTATATGATATAATGTTTTATATTAATAATTAATAAAATCTTAAATAGTAATAGTATATGTAAAAGCAATATATATAAACAATGAAATGTGTTAGATTTAATGAAAAAAAATTATTTAAAAAAACTACATGTTTGATCATATGCTAGTAACAAAACATTAATTACAATCATTAATTTAATATAATTAATTTTAATAAGTAAAATAGATAAAAAAAACAAAATATAGTTAAAATTTAAAATTAATGTAAATGTTATGCTATTAGATTTTTAATTTTCTAAAAATAAATTTCTTAAAAATCCAAATTGTTTCCAAATATATCCAAAATAAACATAAACATAAAATTTTTATTGCTTAACTAAATTTAGCTAGTTAATTTTTTTAAAAATAATTAGTATAGAATAATAAAATACTAAATTTTGTTTAAATTGTTAATAATACTAAAATAATGTACAAAAAAATATTTTTATTCAATTTTTATTTAAGTTATTTAAAATATATATATATTAAACATTTAAAATTGTAATGTCCAGAGTAAGTAAATAAAAAAAATATAGTTAATTATATTTTATATTTAATTAATTAATTAGTAAAAATATTGATTTATTTATAAACATAGACTTAAATATACTG